TGTAGTTTCCACATTCTGTTGGGTCACCTTTCTTTGGGATAGGAACAAATACGATCTCTTCCAGTCAGTTGGCCAAGTGGTTGTTCTCCAGATTTCTTGGCACAACTTGGTGAGCATGTCCATGGCAGCATCTGTTTACTGAAATTTGTCAATTGGTATAGCATCTATTCCTGGAGCCTTATTTTTTGCCATTTCCTTCAAAGCAGCCTGCACTTCTTCTTTCATCACCAAAGGCTCTTGCTTCTATGTTGTTTCATGAAATTCTTCTGTGTCTGCCAATTCCTTTCGATACAGTGATTCGTTATATTCTTTCCATCTTCTTTTAATACTTCCTGGATCATTTAACATTCTGCCGAAAGCATCCTTGATTATAGCAACTTGAGGTTTGAATTTGTTCTTCAGTTGAGTTCTATGCAAGTATAGTTCATCCTTTTTAGGTTTTGTAACTCCAGTTTTTGCATTTTTGGTTATAATACTTTGCATCGTGTTTTGAAACCTGGTGGGTTGTTGTTTTTTTTTTTTAAACTTTTTAAAAATTATTTTTGTGTGTGTACCATCAAATCGGGTATGACTGGTCCAGGAGGAGATTGCCCTTCCTTCACCAGCAGAGTATCTGGTAGATTTAAACAATGTACCTCTGGGATTGCAGTGCAGTTTCTTGCCAGTAAGCCACCAGGGCTCTTCTGAAACCTGTTTTTTCATTCCACCATCCTTTCCCCTTGCTTTGGCCTCTTTCTTTCCAGTGCAAATTTCAGGGTCTCTGAATTAATTGCATGATTTTTATCTTGAAGGATGTTATTTTGAGGGCTTCAAACTGGTTCTTTGCTGTTATCTGATAAAGCAAAGCTAGAATGGACTCGATTTTATAAGATTTCAGTATTATCAGAATAGAAAAAACGAGAGGACAAATCCAGCCAGAGACTTACTCTCCTTCCTAGAAAACAGGGGCAGCATGTACACTGCATTGCAATCAATTCTCGAGTGTTCTTATTGATTGCTTTTGAGTTGAGCATGACTCATAATGACCCTATGAACAAAAGGTCTGAAGCCCGTCCACAACTATCTAGATTTATCAAAGTTCATAGTTTCTAAGAGGCAAGTTGTTTAAGAAGTAGATGCCACTCCTGGTTCCAAATCTGCCTTAGAATGTTATTGGTTGAGTCGCCTGTGATGTACTTGTACAGCAGCTCTGAACCGTCCTGAGTCTGTCTCACTAACTCCCACACACCAACCCCCGTTGCCCCCAGTTACTGTATCAATCCATCTCCCTTTTCTGCACTATCCATCCACCCTTCTGAGCATGATGTCCTTCTCCAAGGACCGATTTCTCCAGTCCAAGTGCCCAAAAAGTAAGTGAGGCAGAGCTTCAAAATCCTAGCCTCCAAGGAGATACTTGGTTTCACCCTATCTAAGACATCTATTTGTTTTCTTGGCAGTTGATGGTATGTTCAAGACTCCCCTCCAGCACGACAACTTGAAGGCATCTATTCTTCTTCTGTCATCCTTAGTCACTGTCCAACAGATTTCTAGAACTCAGATTTGACCATGTAATATATCTACTTAAAAACATTAATTCCACAACTGGTCTTGAACACAAGAAAAGCCCTGGATAAGTTCAGTTTACACGCACCTTTTAAAAAAAATTTGTTTTATATTCCCACATGATACACTAAATATTTAGAGTTCTTGAACTTACCATGCTGCATGAAATGTATGCATTCTTTTACAAAAAGGTAGGTACATATTTGTTTTTGAGGTCAGTGTAGTGATTAACAAGACATGCTATCTTCCTCTATCATTACTTGCCACTGGGACTTTAGGCAAAGTAATATAACTTCATAAACCTGAACAACTTCTCAGATTTAGTAAAATGAAGATGATATTATCTATTGCATAGGGTTATATTCAGGATTAAAAACTGAAAATGAACACGCGACAGCACAGCACAAATGATAGCTACTATTATTAGGGCTAACATTCAATTAAGAAGTTATCCATGACTGTGAAACCTCAACCCCAAAGCCAATTATGCTTCCTCTAGTTTTGTACCAAAAGCATGTTCATATTTCTGTTGCAGTCTTCAGTGAATGGCACTTCCTGCTGGTATCTAAGTCAGATTTCACAATATAAAATATCAAGTTAATTGAAAGCAGCAATGAGCCATCCCAACGTTGAGATGTAAGTTTATGTACTTCACAGAGCTTTATCAGGCTGATATTTGCAATATCTCCTGTACTGATCTTCACCCCAGTTTTGGGGGTAGTCAGCTCTGTTCAGGTCAGGGCGGGAATGGTCACCAATCAGGTAAAACTTTTTTAGACCCATTAAGAACCAAATGCAGACAGAAACCACTGGTCTGTGCATAAAACACAGAGGGCCAATGACGTAAGTGAGCACCCACTGAAGTACCAAGAAGCAGCCAGCACTTTAAAATGTACTCCATATGGACTAAAGTAATAGTCTCTATCCAGAATTATGGCCAGCTTAGAATCCACTTTCATCTCACCTTAGGGAAAAGTTTTAATCAGGCATCTCTAAAATACATTCAAGGAGCAAGAACACTGATACTACTTTGTAAAAGAGATATAAAAAATTATCAGCCAAAGACTACCAATGATGCTCCCTGCAGGTTCATTTTTATAACCTAACAGATTTTTCAGAGTAACCTTTGCCCATTACACAGAAAGAGAAAATGAAGGCTTATGGTTCAATCAATGAATCTGTGTAAGTGCTAAAAGTAGTTATGAGGAGTGTAAGAAATTCTATCTTGACTGCAGTGGTCCTCATTGCCTTCACTGTTAGGATAGTTTAAAAACTTCTTTTTTTTTGACAAAAGAGTATTTTTTTTTATTACTAATTTTTATTCTGTTTTGGTGAATTATATTTCTTATTAAGAAGCTAATTAAAAAGCTGCTTTGGACAAAGATGGCTCTGCTTGAAATTCTAGTCCTTACCAGCAAAATGAAGTTCGGACTCTATTAAATATTAACAGAATTCCAGTACTTTACAAGATACAAAGAAAACAACTGATATGACAAAAACTCTTAGAAATTTCATTTTAGCAAAGGTTGGGCTCAAAAAGATAGTTCTATGTTTCAATTTCCGTATAAAATTGTGTAGCCACATTTATATTCTGCCATTACAGACAGAATCCAGCTAATAAATGGAGTAAATATACATTCTAACAAAGAGGAAAACCCAGGGAAAAAGTAACAGTACCTTTTTTATATGTTCCATCCACTCCTTTGCCCATCTTATCCTTGCTGCTAACATCGCCTTCCATGTATGGGAAAACTCTGGCCTGGTGGGTCCACAGATAGTCATTAGACCCAAAGAAAAGTACAGGAAACTCGCCCACATCATGCCTCATCTTATCAATGTTGGAAGGTACAGCCCGTGGATGGCAGATCTCAGCTGGCCACCATCTGGTGAAAGCAAAGGAGAAAATCTTTAGAATGCATCAAGACACTGAAAACAACATACATGGAACAAGAATTAAGAATGTCTGTGAACAGTAAAGAACAACCTAGGGCATTTTTATAATTTTATAATTTAACTACAGAAAGGTATACTACAACTATATGCAAGAACTCTCTCCGACTCAATTATTTTACCATGCTAAGAGAAACAAAGTAATCAGAGATACATACAAAGATATATTAGTGAAATAATCACTGAAGCACTACTGATAATAAGGAAAAACTAAAATCTTTAAAAAAAGGTAAGAATAGCTATATAATATACTATATAACATTATTCAGCTGTTTTTAAAAAAGAGACACTTCAGTAACTAAAAGAAGCATGGAAAAATTATGCCAATAAACAGCAAAGCATGTAAATTAGTAACCAATTTTAGAAGATAATTTTGTGTTGTTAAAACTAGAATTTCCTTTGTATACGAAGAAACATTTATAAAATACTCATAATTGCTTAAAACAGGAGAATGGAGAAATGAACCAAACAACCTAAGAGAGTACTATACTGAAATATAACACTGAAGTATGGAATTACTGATTAGCACTGCATTAATGCTATGGAATCTCAGAGACATGATAATGGAATGAAATAAACAATACAGCATACCAAAAAAAGTTAAACTATAAAGAAAGAGAAAAGATACAAGAGTTGCACGTATCTGTATAACTGGCAAACTAACACAGCAAAGCAAATGCAACATTTAGTACACTCTTTTATCTCTAGAAATGGGAGAAAGGGGAATCTGTGGTACTGGAGTAAGATTCTAAAGTACCAATATGCTACTTTTTTAGTCTGGGCAGTATATATATATATAAAATGGTTCTTTTGGTTGTTCTTTTTTTTTATTCTTTTGTGTGTGTACCGTCAAATCAGATCTGACTAGTATAGGAGAAGATTTTTCCTCCTCTCCAGCAAAGCATCTGGTGGATTCGAATCGCATACTTCTAGGATTGCAGTGTAGCTTCTTGCCACTAGGCCACCAGAGCTCGCCTGTTTGTTCTTTTTAAAAAAAATTTTTTTAAAAAATTTTATTATTTTTTATGAGTACCGTCAAATCAGATCTGACTGATACAGGAGGAGATTGCCCCCTCCTTCTCCAGCACAGCATCTGGTGGATTTGAACTGTATACCTCTGGGATTGCAGTGCAGTGTCTTGCCACTAGGCCACCAGAGCTCCCCTTTGGTTGTTCTTTAAAATTAAATACAACATATATATAATTTTACATACTCTATAGTTAATGAAAATTTTTAAAAGAAAATCCAAGATAAAAACCGGGCACATACTTCAAGACCAATTATTTTATAAGTTTCTGTACTGGCATGGGTATATCTTTAAATAAACACACAAAAAAATGTTAAAGATCTATCTTTCTGCTGTACCGTCTGAGACTGTAATTTTTAAAAAAAATTTTTTTTACAATGAACATGCATTTGCTCTTGAATGATAAATGTAATATGAGCCTTTTCTTTCATAAAGAAAAATTAACCGGGAAGCAAATAGAAGACTTTTCCTAATCAGAGAACAAAAATTAAAACATTAAGCACTGTTATTAAAAAATATGTGAAACAGCTAAAAAAAAAAAAAAAAAGGACTGCTATTTATTCTTCACTATGGTTACCTACCTATAACGTCCAACTTTTACCCAGACAATCTCTCTATAATGTGGCTTTTTCCCTGCCTTACAGTCATTGCAGTACCAATTTCCTTCAGGGATGTCAATATTCAAGCATTCACGATGAAAAGCAGCAGGGCAAGAGTCACAGCACAAAAGGCTACCACCTGTACAAATCAAGAAAAAAAAACCAATACAACATGAAGAGGAGGATGTTTATACACTTAGTTCTCCAACCTAGGCAGAGATTTTTAACCCATTCTGTATCTAATACTCTCCTGAAACCTAATGGGCCTGACTTACATAATTAATTATATAGCAACATATTAGATAAATTGAACGAAAAACACATATACATCAAAACTGACCCAAGAATGGGGGGAAGGAATACCAACAGAACCAAATACAAGTGAAGAGACTGAGTAATAAAAAATTGCCAAACAATTAAAAAGAAAAAAAGCAGCTCTGGGCCAGTCCTTGACTGCACAGAAATGGAGGTGACTCCTTGGTAGCAGGCATCTCATGTGGGCTCCATGCCTGGGAACAGGTGTGGCTCCTCGGCACCACGTGGCTTGTGTAGCAAGAAGCATGCTGTGCCTTTCAAATGAGTATGGAGTCTTTCTCAGAAGTCATAAAAGGCAATATATACCTCTATTTCATGATATTTCAATTTATGCAGATTAAGATGTATTGATACATGGTAGCTGAAGTACCACACTTGTCTAATCCAAAAATAGAGAAACTACCAAGGACACTTTAAAGTCAACTAAGATGTGAAAAAAAGGAAAACTTTGTTATGTTGTAAATGTGTTCCCTTATAAAGGACATATTTAGAACTATGATGCCATCCCTCAGAGATGGGAAGACCCAGGAGACAATGACAAACACAGTGGCTGTTGTGGTGACAATGATTCAATTTATGTGTGGGAGATTGAAAGTAGTAAAATAATCAGTATGAAAATTTGGGCATAAGGGCTATGACTGATGAAGGAGAAATCAACTGGAAAGTTGTGACCATTAATGTGGACTCTGAAACTACCACTTACAATGGCAAAGAGATGAAGCCTGGGTACCTAGAAGCTACCTTGGACTGGTTTAGAATGTACAAGTTTTTTATGAAAACAACAGAATCAGTTTTCTTTCCAAGTAGAATTCAATGATAAGGATTTTTACAATTTATATTCTTAAAAGCATCTATGACCATCGGAAAGCATTGGTGACCAAGAAAATAGATAGAAAAGGAATTAGTTGCACAACAATTGTTTGAGATCCCCTTCAGGTGTCTGATGCTGCCAAAGCATCTGTGGAAGCTTTACCAACACCTTATAAATCTGCCTGTATAGTATTAACACATATGGACATTACTTTCAGAAAAACAAATGAAATTTCTCTAGAATACAAGCTGTATTCTTTTTCATCTGGAAAAATTAGATGCAAATACAGTATCTTTTCAAAATGTGAAGTCTGCTGTAAAAATACTATATATTCAGAATGCTGAATAGCAAACAAAGAAAAATGAAGACATACATTTGAATAAGAAACAGCAAAGTCACAAAAGAACTGAAATAAAAAGGATTATACAGGATGATGAAAGTTGTACTCCAACAACTACGAAACTCTAGAATTCCTAGAAATTCAACATCAAGTGAACACAGACTGAAACAGAACACTTAAACATACTATAAAATAATATGATCAGGTCATTAGAAAAATATTCTGTCCCACTTGAAGGAATAAAAAACCCCTCTTCCTAGCCCTCAAAAACACCCTACACCAGAAGGCATCACAGGCAAATTCTGCCAAACATGCACAAAAGAACCAAACTGACTGACATTATTTTGAAAAACAAAAGACAAAGAAATACTTTCAGACGAAGTAAATAAAACTTTGCTATCACACTTAGTTGTTCTGGGATTTCCATTCTTCTCAGAATTAGCCACAGTTTGTTGTGATCCACAGTCAAACAACTTTAAATAATTAACAAATCACGGACAGACAATCCTCTGGTACTCCCTGCTTTCAGCTAAGATCCATCGAACATTATCTACATTATCTCTAGTACCACGATTCCTTCTAAACCCAGCCTGTACTTCTGGCAGTCCTGTGTGGATGTGCTGTTCCAGTTGTTTTCTAGATATTCTTCAGCAGAATCTTGCTTGCATGTATTATCAAGGATACTGTTTGATAATTTCCACACTGTGGGCTCACCTTTCGTTGCAATGGGAACAAATACAGATCTCTTCCAATCATTTGGCCAAGTAGTTGTCCTTCAGATTTCTTGGTACAATTTGGTGAGCACATCTACGGCACCATCTGTTAGTTGAAATACGTCAATTGGTATACCATCAATTCATGGGGCCTTATTTTTTGCCAATTCTTTCAAAGTAGCTTGAACTTCTTCATCACTGAAGGCTCTTGCTCATATGCTTTTTCATGACATTCTTCTGTGTCTGCCAATTCCTTTTGGTACCATGACTCTGTGTACCATTTTCACCTTCTCTTAATATTTTCCTGGATCATTTACTATTCTGACCAAAGCAACCTTAAGTATTGAAACCCGTGGCTTGAATTTATTCTTCAGTTTCTTGTGCTTAAGAAAGGCTGAGAAGTTCTCCTCTTTTGCTATTCTGACTCCAGCTCCTTGCACATTTCACTGTAATACTGTCTTCCCGCGCTGCCTTTTACTTTTTCTTCACTAGTTTATTTACAAAATTCTAATACAAATTCTAATAAATTCTTTCAATTTCCCTCACCCCCCCCCCATCAAATTGTACAATCCAATGATTAATTCCCTCTTGAGGGAAGCTGAATATCAAATTTAATAATAGTGGATCAAATGCTGTATCAGGAAATGAGGGAGGCTTAATACAAGCTGAAGGTCACCTTGTGACACTGGGGCATTCCTTAGGAGTCAACATTGTTCTTACTTAGTATCAAATGAATCCCTCCCTCTTGAGATTAACATAAAGAGGAACTTGGCCTTATCTGTAAAAGATTTCACCATTATCCTTTGTTTTGTACTTCCTTGTGATTTTACTTTTATTATCTTATGATTCTAAATAAATACTCAGAGAAGCATGGCTTGAGGTCTTCAGTCCGGAACTGTTGACCCCCTGTTTTACGCTCTCTGCTCTATCTCATTCCTGGTTGTTTGTCTCTTTATTATAAAATTATTCTATTCTTTGGGACCCTCGGTCTGCAACATTCTGGTGCCCGAACTTGGGGCAAGGTGATGGTTTTTCTTTGGATAAGGTGGTGGTTTCTCTCTCCTTCTCTTTTTCGAGCAGACACCAGGAACCTAAAGGGAATTCGCTCAGGGTAAGTGAAACTTTGGGGAAAATTAAAAACAGGGTCATGAGAGGATCTTCACTCCTTGGAAATTAAGGATTGTTCTTGTTGCTGTTATGTGCCGTGGAGTTGTTTCCAACTCATAGTGACCCTATGCACAACAGCCCTAAACCCTGCTCTACCCTGCGCCAACCAA